TTTCTAGGGGGGGTCAAAAAAATTGAAATTTTATATATAAGACCTGATAATTTATATATTAAAAACTAGGGGGGGGGTAAGCCTCTGATAAAAAAAAATCAGGTAATAAATGACACCGCCCTTAGTATCTTTTACAATATGAAAAACTTTATTTCAATCAACTCATATTATCTGATATATTTATTTATTTAACTTTTATATTAGTTTACACTAGACAAATTGGAAATTTAATTGGTATTGCACCTTGGAATTTGGTATTAATGCCACCACCTCAAGCTAATAATACAGAAGAGGCAGATGAAGAAGAATATAAAGGACTAGCAGACCCACATCATGAAAATTAACCATTATTAAAGTATTATACTTTACTAATTATAGGGCATAGAATATTGTTAACACTATTAATTTCAAAGATAAGTTTACATTTTTATCTAGTAAGAATTTATAATAAAGATTTGGCTAAAAAGGTTAAAAGAAATATAACTTCTGCTAATATTTTTAAAAATGTTGAAAAGTTAGATGAACTGGTACTTCAAGATCATTTTGATCTTCTTGCTTATCATTATAGTGAAATTATATAATAATACAGGTTGCCTCTTAAAAAATTAGAATTTTTATATATATTATAAATTCTCAAAAGAAGAAACAGATATTTGTATGTTTGTAGAAGACGAAAAAAAAGTAGAATATTTAATATAGCTAATTTTGCATTTATTATTGCAGTTGTTTATATGCCAGATTTTTTTAAAATACAATATCTTCACTTTAAGTTAAATGAAAATGATCCTAGATATTTGCAAGAGAGAAATAGTTTTTTTTAGACACAGATTTTTCTTTTGGTAGTAGTCAAACTGGAATACCTGTTTATATTAGCGATAGAACAATTGAGATTGTATATTGTTATGCTGCGAATACAAAAAATACCATTAAATTAGTACATATAATTGTGCAAGAAATTAGAGCAGAAGTTGATAGTAATACTAATAAACAAGAGACAAATGTATAATAAAATTTATATAAATATAGCTTATTTTTATTTTAAATATTATTTTATTTTATTTTAACAAAATATCATATAAATATAAATTTGAATTATCTTGAAATAAATTTCATTATTGTTGTTTTTATAATAAGTTAATTAACAAGAAAAAAAAAAACAGAATATAGATGAAATATATATTAATATTGTAATAGCAGTTGAGCAAGCTTTGTTAGAATATTATTCTAAATTACCAAATCAAAATAAAATGGAAGTTGATATTCCTGTTAATAATACTGATCAACTAAATCTTTTACCATCTATTAAAGACCAAACCCTACCAGAATCTGAACAAAATAGTAAAAAACTAGATATTGTGGATGTTAAACCAATATCAACACCTACTTCTAACTTTACAGAATTTTGTTCAGTCAAAATTTCATTTTTAAGTTTTTCAAACTCTAAATTTGTAAAACTTTATCAGTAATTTTTTTTAAAATTATTGTACTCTAAAATGCTAATAATACATGATTACTAAAAACTTAAGTATATATATTATTTAATTTTGTAATTAAATTATTACAGTGCAGGCATCCTTAAACCAACAACTTTTATTAAAGTAGCCAAATTTGAGACAAAATACTAACTTCTGATTGGTTAATACCTTAAAATTTTATTATGTTTTTTGAAATTTTATTATATTTTTTAAAAATTTATTATATTTTTTAAAAATTTATTATATTTTTATATATATATAACCAAATTTTGGTTTCTATACTAACTTTAAAACAATTCAACCAAATAAAATTATAATTAACTAAAAAAATAAACTTTGTAACTTTGTTCTTTAGGTTTAATTTTATTATTTTACGAAGAGATTTTGTTAATATCTACTTTAGTTTTTTATTTATAAGCTTTTAAAAATTATATATTTTATATGTTGATTTAAGGATGCCTGTACTGTAGTACTAGTACCTGGCAAGCAATTCTAGTAACAGAACAGGAGGCTGAAATGCTAAAAAACGAAAAGATGATGAAAAAGAAAAACTTATTTCAGTAATTAATTCAATACTTATATTACTGCCCAAATCACAAAGCTCAAAATATACTAACTTAAAAAATAAGACAAAAACTACACTATTAACAATCTTACAAGAAATTCAAGAATTAAATAATCTTGATAAGGCTGTCGGTGATGATGATGTAAATTGGCGAAGATAATATAAATAAAAAGCCTGCAGACGAAGAAGTGGCATAAAGAGGTTAATAATTATATATCATATAAATATATCTCTTATGAATAGCTGATAAGTACTTATCTGTTATTACTAATATTATAATAGATAATATAATGTCTTTCACCAATTACTTTTTTAAAACATAACAATCATTAATATCCTTAATAATTAAATTTCCATTATAAAAACCTTGTCATATTCGATTTGTATATCTGAAATTATGATAAAATTTGTTTGTTATTTAAACTATCCATAATTTTTGCTATGCCCCATTTAGGTTCTTTTTTTTTCTATTTTAAGTTGCTATAGTAGAAATTAAATATTTTAACATAACCTTGATAATAAAAAAAAATTAAATATTAGAGTTTACTATAATTCAAATTTAATTATATTCTAAATAAAGTAAAAAAATAGCAATAATATAAATATTAAATAGCACTTGTCAAGGGTTTGGGCTCTATAGCTTAGTGGTTAAGCTGCCAAACCCCCACAGTATAAGCTAAGGTCCACGGTTCGATTCA